GTCTACTGTAAAATCGATATGTATTAGATCATTATTGTTGTCTGTGGTACGGCTAGGAAACATTGGGCATGATCCATTACTGTTTACAAACACTGAGCCGAAGAATGTGTTAAAGATGTTGGCTTTAATGGTGTCGTCGCTGCAGTCTTTACCATCAGGTCCTATCAAGGGAGGGTGAACCGGATGTTAAAGTAACAGCTGGTTCGCTAAACCAGTATGTCAAACAACTGGATGGCCCCACCCCTCCCCTCCCAGCAGTCTCCACACAGCCAATTTTCGATGGAGGTAAGTGCAAGGTCCACGTGGAGGCTCTGGGAGGGGGGAAAAGGGGCCTTCTAGAAGTCCAGAAACGGGCCTGTTTCCAGCTTCCAGTGGGCCTCCAGAGGCTGTGTAAGGATGTTTTCACCCTCCCAGAGGCCCAGGGGAGGCCTCTGGACCCTTGGGAGGGTGGAAATGGCCTCTCCCAGGCTCTGGAGGCCCACCAGAAGTAGGAAACAGGAAGTTCCAGTTGGCCACACCCACCCAGCAACTGGACAGTGAACCGGTTGCTGGGATTTATGAACCCCACCCCTGTCTTCCACCAATTACTTCATGTCCTACTCTCAGGTGCTTTGGAGAATCCCCTCAAGTGCTGGAAGACTCACAGATCACCCCTAATTATTCTGTAGGAGTCCCTCAATCATTCATCATGTGGTTTAGCTCACTGGTGGGATTCAAAATTGTTTACTACCAGTTCTGTGGGTATGGCTTGGTGGGTGTGGTGTGGCTGGGTGGGTGTGGCTTGTGGGTGTGGCTTGGTGGGCGTGGCAGGGGAAGGATACTGGAAAATCTCCATTCCCTCCCCTCCCCACTAACCTGCTTTCCAGCTTCATTCTGTTGTGCAGGGCAACCAAAGAAGAGCCAGCCGATCAGCTGGGACTCGGGAGGCAGAGAATAGATGGTGATGGGGCCAGTCAGAGGTGGTATTGGCCGATTTTCCGAACTACTCAAAATTTCTGCTACCGGTTCTCCAGAAGTGGTCAGAACCTGTTGAATACCACCTCTGGTTTAGCTTATATAATCTCTTAGTTTAACCTCATTCCTCAGGCTTAATATACTGGACAGTATAACACTTGGCGCTGGAAAACAGAAGTTTCTAAAAGGCTGGCTAAAATGCAAAGTGGAAAATATTATTTTTTTAAATAAAACTGACTCTAACCAAGGAATAATCATTAGAAGTATGTGTCATTGAGAGGAAATGAAAATGGTGGTAATAGCTAAAAAGTCGCCAATTCCATTAGAGTAATATTTAAAATGCTCCTCGGGAGATTTAAGTACAAGGCAGTTATACAGCTCAGAAACTTTAAAAAATAATGGTTATTATTATTACTACTAGTGCAAGTTCTTGTGTATCCAAACAGAGAAAACCTTTAAAGACAATTGCAAACTAGAGAGTGATGTATATTCTGTACATACAATTAACTCAGTAAAACAGAAACTGCTGGGGAATGAGGAGGTTTGCATGATGATCAAGAGCTGGCTGTTGTTGAGAACTAGAGAAATCCAAAATGGTTGAGTTCACTCATTACACAAAATCATAAGGTGGTTGAGCTTTGTTGTATTATGCAAAAATTCAACAATTTGGGCATCTCAGTGGCTCAATCACAGTGTGAAGAAACAGCTTACCTCCTAGAGTTGTGAGTGCTCCATCACCGGAGGTTTTCAAGAAAAGATTGGACAACCATTTGTCTGGGATGGTATAGAATAGGGGTCCCCAAACCCTAGGCTGTGTCACACTCCCCGGCTGTGGTCTATTCAGAATTGGGCTGTGCAACTGGTACAGTGGTGGGATTAAAAAAAATACTACTGGTTCTGTGGGCATGGCTTGGTGGGCGTGGCATGGCTTGGTGGTGTGGCAGGGGAAGGATATACTGCAAAATTTCCATTTCCACCCCACTCCAGGGGGAAGGATACTGCTCCCCACCCCACTAACCTGCTTTCCAGCTCCGTCTTCCTGTGCACGGCAACAAAGAAACACTCAGCCAATCAGCTGGGACTCAATGGGAGGTGGAGAATAGATGGGGGCGGGGCTAGTCAGAGGTGGGATTTGCCGGTTCTCCAAATGACTCAAAATTTCCACTACCGGTACTCCAGAACCGGTCTGAACCGGCTGAATACCACCTCTGAACTGGTGGGCTTGAGCGCACGTGAATGGCTCAACTTACACGAGTGGCAAAATGGTTCTTCAAGGCTTCTCTTGCTGTTTCCTCATCCCATGATAACAAAACAAACAAACAAACCACTTACAATGAGAATCAAATAAATTCCTGCTCACAAAAGATTGGCTCTACACTCAAAATGAGTTTGCATACCATGCAAATTCAGTTTGCTTTATTTTGATTTATTGAGTGCCTGTGATTTACTCAAAGCATGGCTTGGTACGATTTAGGCAACCATAATCATATATACTGTATTTCAGATGAAATAACTGAATTAGATATAACATTCATTTAGGTAAAAAAAAAAAAAACACCTTTCACTCACTGCCTAGATAATATACCCAGAAGATCAATCTTCAAATAATTCCTTCATATATATTTTTTAAAAATATGTTTAATCGGTTCACAAAGTTAAGTTTCTCAGTCTATCATTAAACCTAGGTTTCTCAGTCTATCATTAAATATAGGTGCCCCAATTTTTCTGAAGTGCTGAACAACCAAGAATGTGAAGAGACAATTAGAACAATGTGAGCTCACTATTTCCTTCTCTCTCTTTTTCTTTAAAGGGAGGGGGTGGAAAATCCAGGTCGCATATTTTATTTATGCCAGTATTCTGAATTCCACCTTTTCTCCATCTAGTTAAAGTAATTGAGCTATAGCTGATTGGAAAAAAAAAAAGTAATGATAAAATAAGACCTAGAAATGTAACAAGTAGAAATGAAGCTCTCTCACTTTTTTTCCTTTAAAGACGACTTTCATTTTTAAAAATTAATATTCTGCTTCAACGTCTATGCCAGCATGCCTCACTCCTGAAAGCTTCCAATTAGGAGGATCTGCTGACAAAGCATTTAAATCATATAGGACATTTCAGAACAGAGATATAGAATCAGCTCCAATATTGAGATACAATGGAATGTATTCATTGAATTTTATAGCAATTTATAACAAGAGATCGCCAGTGGGGAGCCAACAAAACTAAGACAGCCCATAGAATTGATTCACAACCCTTTTAATGTGCATCACATTCATAACATATAGGTGTCGGCCTTCAATAGTGCACTCACACTCCCCATCTTGATTTTTTTGACATATTTTTGATTGCACCAGTGCCCTGATTTTTAACGATTGCAACTGCAAGATTTTCAGTGATTTGCCGTTCTTGCAAAGTGTCAGGCCCAGCTCAGTAATGACATAGAACAATCCAGCAACAGTTTGCTTCTTTATTTGATCATACCAAATAGACAGAATCTTGCCAGACTAAATTCTTACTACTCTCATCCTGATGGATATACCCTGGGAGATTCTGGGGAGTGTATAAGGAGACTCTCAACCTTCCAGATCAGGGGTGTCAAACTCAAGGCCCGTGGGCTGGATCCGGCCTATGGGGTGTTTAGATCTGGCCCATGGGGTTGCCTTGGAAACAATGAAGGACCAGCCCATAGTGTCTCTGCCAGTGAAAACGGAGCTCAGGAAGACCGTGTGCAGCCCTGCTGAGCTCTGTTTTTGTGATGACCCAGAGTGTAACACAAACGTAACAAAATCCAAAATGTAAATAAATGTCCTTTAATGCCTCCAACTTGGCCCCACTGTTCAATAATTCTCAGTTGGAGATAAAACATATTCAAAAATAATCTTCAAAAGAAAGCAATACAGTCCGAGCTTAATGAGCAGATAGAGGTGAAATAAAAAAACTAAAACAAACTACAATGGAGGAATTTCCACAATGGACCAGGATGAGTATTTACCAACTTCAAGGAGATAACAAGGCACAGTCTGTTGGAAGGACACCAACCAAGATAACTTCAGCCCAAAATAAAACACACTTTGCTTCTGGCAATGCTGTGTTTTAACCGTCTCTCTTATATACTATTCTCCCCAGCTGCAACCAGTGAGGGGGATCATGGCTGCTTCCTCTCTCATAAGCCAAGTTGTTGCCTTCTCCGTTCCTCCCTGTGTATCCTAGGATGAAGAGGGGATGGGCCTGGTTCTTCCTCTGACTGCCCAGCCGGCCTCTGCCCTTCCCCAGCCTCCTCCACAACCTCCGGAGCCACACTCCAACTCCTTGTCGGCTGTTCCTCCTCTCCCTCAGAGTCAGTCTCCAACAGGGGCATGACAGTTTTTGCTGGCAGAGTTGCAGGAGGCCTTTGCAGTGGGAAACGGAGCTTGGGAGCCCGTTTTCACTAGCAGAGCACTTGAGCTACCCCAGACACCCCCAATACAAGTGACGTTGAGCTGGCCATGCCTACCATGGTCACTCTCCCCGCCCCTGAAGTCAAATACAACCCTGATGTGGCCCTCAATGAAATTGAGTTTTACACCCCTGATCCAGGTCATGGTTGCTCCCCAAAGGTGCTTTTCTTTTTTAAAAAAGATTTTTTTTTATTTTTAGACAAACATACACAAACAAAACATACAACATAAATCCATCTTCCAATTATGTACATACAGTGTGTCGGTTGGTTACAATTTTTTTGTGCATCCTCTCCATAGTCTTCGCTTACAATTGTTTGTATAGATTCTCATATTATCAATCTAATATATATGTATACATTATTATCATTGTTAATCATTTATTTGACTAAACTATTATTCCTTCATTTTATACGAGATATTCAAATTTTTAAATTAATTTATAATATAACAATTCATATTATCATCCTAAATCCATCCAATAATAATACATCTTTATATTATATTCTGTATAATTCTATTCTCCTTATATTGTAAAATTCTACATATTACATTACCATATTTTTGTTTCTTATTGATAAAATGAATCCCATATCTTATAAAATTGTTTATCTTCTTGTTCTCTAATTTCAAATGTCAATTTACTCATTTCAGCATATTCCATTACTTTCTTGATAACTTCCTCATGGGTTGGTATTTTCTCATTTTTCCAATTTTTAGCAAATACAATCCTAGCCTCTGTTAATACATTTACAATCAAATATTTCAATTCCCTACTGTATATTTCCAATAAGATCTCCAATAAAAATATATCTGGTTTAAAGTCTATGTGTTTCTTTGTCGTTTTTTCCAACCATGTGTGGATTTTAGTCCAATATCTTTTAGCTTCTGCACATGTCCACCACATATGGTAATATGAACCCGGTATCTGATGGCATTTCCAACATTTTTTGGATTTATTCTTAAACATTCTTGCTATTTTCGTCAGGGGTAAGTGCCACCTGTAAAACATCTTATACAATTTTTTTTTATATGCTATTGCCATTGTCATTTTATAATTTTGAGACCACAGTTTTTGCCATTTCTCTAAATCAATTCCATGTCCAAAATTTTCCCCCAAGCAATCATTGTTTCTTTAACTTGTTCTTCTTCTAGCTTAACCACTAATAAATGATCATATAGTTTTTTAATCACCTTTTCATCAGTACCTGTCAGAATTTTATCTAAATCAGTCAGTCCAAAGGTCCTTTTCAAAAGGCAACTGGGCTATCTTATTTTTTTTAAAAAACTTGGAAATATTTTGCTTCTCATCTAAGAAACTTCTGAACTGAAGAAGTTTATTTGATGAGAAGTGAAATGTTTTCAATGGGAAAAATAACCAAGAAAGTCCAGTTGCTTTTTGGAAAAAGCACCTGTGGGACATTCTGGGAAGTGGTTTTATCTTTTGTTACAATTTACCAATGAGGTAATTCAAAAACCTGCTGATATATAATTATTTAAGAACTGTTTATATGTTTCTATTTTTTTTCAAGTATGTGAACCTGTAAAAGGAGTTTTTTCTAAACTGAAACAACTTTACCAGGACATCTAATAAAATAACTTTTTGCTGTGGCAAACCAACCATTGTATTATATCTTAAAGGCACTCTACTGTAAGAACACAAGCACACGCAAACTCAAACTATTTTTGCAATAGGATGATTCCAATTTTAACTACCAAGATTACAGTTTCTACACGAGTAACCAGCATGGAGCTGAAACACAGAGAGCAAAAGGCATATAAGGAGAAAAAAAAAGGTGAAATAGATGAAATGCAGTTGTCAATTTGCATGCAACGGATAATCCACTCAGCATCCACAGAGGTTTATCATTTGAAACAAACATCAGACATATTTATTTATTTATTTATTTATTTATTTGATTTGCCAATTGTTTACAAGATAATAAGTATAAGTGTATACATAGTTGTGAATACATGAAATGGGTACATATAAGAAAAATAAAAGAAGAATAAGAGAAACAATAGGACAGGGACGGTAGGCACGTTGGTGCGCTTATGCACGCCCCCTATGTTAAACCATATGTTATGTATGGTTTGTGAATGTATGAACTAGAAGACCTCCAAGGTCCCTTCCAGATAATTCTATTTTATTCTAAATGTGAAGGGATGTATGCAACTAGTACAGTTACAACGGCAATTCAACAAGTGACTGACCATTTTTCACATGATGTTGCAACATCCCTATGGTCACATGATCAAAATTTGGGTGCTTGGCAAGGGGTTCATACTTATGACAGGTGCACCATCCTGGGATCACGTAATCATCTTTTGCAACCTAATGACAAGCCAAGTCAAGAGGGGAGGCAGATTCACTTAATGACAGGGTTATTATTTCTGGGCACTTATATCTCAGAGGACCTCTATGAATGCTAACATGCTTGTGAAGAAGGCACAGAAGAAGAGACTGTACTTCCTGAGAATGCTCAGGAAGATAAATCTATCTCAGCATCTATTTCTGTCTTACTACCGCAGAACCATTGAGAGTGTCCTGACATACGGCATTCTTGCATGGTATGGGAGAAGCTCTGTAGTGGACAAAAAAGCTCTACAGAGAATCATTAAAACTGCCCAGAATATCATTGGGCTCCAGCTACCAGCCCTGGATGACATCTTCACATCTCGCTGTTTGAGGAAGTTGTACAACATTCTCAGAGACTCTTCCCATCCTGCTCACAATCTTTTGTGAACTGTTGCCTTCTGGCAGAAGATACAGAACCATTAAAACTCAGACCACACGTTTTCTGAACAGTTTTTATCCCAGAGCTATAATTGCACTTAACAATGAGCTTAAGGACCACTATCAGTGATTTGTTGGACAGTATTAGTTGGTCTGTTGTGTGGATGCTTGTGTGTTTTTAGAGGGTGGGGAATTTTGGCAGGTTGGGAGGTGTTTGGGGATTGTCATGTGTGTGTGTGTTGGGTCTGGTCTCTGGGTGTTATGTGAATTTCGTTGTATGAAAATACTGTGTATATTCGTTCAATGACAATAAATCGTTGCTGTTGCTGTTGCTGTTGTTGTTGTCATAAAATGGGACAAAATTCACTTAACTGACAGAGAGAGCAATCAACCAATGGAAGAGAAGTTGCCTTCAGGCTTTCAAGAAGAGACTGGACTGCCATCTGTCAGAAATGGTGTAGGGTCTTCTGCTTGGACTGAGGGTTGGACTAGATGACCTGCAAGCTCCCTTCCAACTCTATTGATCTGTATCCGTATCTGTCTCTCTTACCAACAGAAATGTTGGGCTCAATTGTGGTTGTAAGTCAAGGACTACCTGTATATGCTATAGGGCTTGATTCAGATTACTTTGGAGTATTTAATACCCAATTTTATCAGGGGATATCTGTCAACTTATACCATGTGGTCAGCAGCCTAAGACTCTACACTTTTGGCAAATTGTTGATCCTAGATAAGTGCTTTCTGTGTACAGGATCAAGGTAAAAATCTATGGGGCATTTTGCCAGTGAAGTGGTGCTATTAATGCATTTTAAAGAGATTTATAGCACTACAGCACTTTAGTTACATTGATATAATTACATACAATAAAAAAATGTTGTTCACTTATTAAATCAGGACAGGTTATTTGCCAGATGAGCAATATAAAAATTTGCTTCAGTTACAGTGTTGAGAACTGCAAACAGAAGCAAATTCTAATACAATTAAATTAAACATTACAAAAAGATTTATATTCAGCATTAACCAAAACCTGTATTCTCTTCCACTTCATGAAACTGAGAAATGACAAAACAAAAGGGAACCTAAAGATTAAATAATAATTATGACATGTTTTTCCTAAATTGTGCTTGTGTCTTTTAAAATAATATTTTCAGCTGCATTTGCATACAGATCAAGAGTGACAGAAAATTGGAACACAATCAAGATTGCTGCAAATGAAAGATTCAGAATGAAATTGGACTTAAATGTTATTGTTGGAAGAGACACATATCTTGTAAACAAACATTTCTTTTTCCAAGCAGTAAATATGAGTTTTTCTTCCCTGTCTTCTAGACAGAAGGGAAACTCAATGTTTGGAATAAAAACTTCCAATTTTGCAAATTATTTTGCAAAATGTAATTCATATATTATAATATAATAAACTAAAACCAGCATGTTAGCATGGGAAGTATAAATAGTGTTGGCAATACAAAGGTAGTCCCTGACTTACGACAACAATTGAGCCCAACATTTCTAGCTATTAAGTGAGACATTTGTTAAGTGAGTTTTGCCCCCATGTTGTTAAGTGAATCACTGCAGTGGATAAGTTAATATCCTGGTTGTTAAGTGAACCTGGCTTTCCCAATGACTGAAAGTTGCAAAAGGGGATCACATTACATTGGGACACTGCTACAGTCATAAATATGAATCAGTTGTCAAGCCCCTGAAATTTGATCATGTGATCATGAGGATGCTGCAAAGATAGCATATAAAAAAAGATGTTGAGACTCTAGAAAAGTGCAGAGAAGAGCAACCAGGATGATGAGGGGACTGGAGGCTAAAACATACGACGAACGGTTGCAGGAACTGGGCATGGCTAGTCTAGTGAAGATAAAGACCAGGGGAGACAGGGTGGCAGTCTTCCAATATTTGAGGAGCTGCCACAGAGAGGAGGAAGGGGTCAACTCAGTGGTGGTATTCTACTGGTTCAGCCCAGCAATGAGCAGTGGAGACCAAACCTGTTCTCTCAGCTGCTCTGCTGTTGGGACCACCTGCCCACCCGGGCTCCCTTACTCACCTTTAATCCTCTGAATTTGAAGCGCAGCTGCTTTGCGCAGCACAGAAGAATGTTGCGTGGCAGCTGCTGAAGCGACCAGGATCATGCAAGGCTTGCAGGAGGTAAATTAGAATGCCTCTGCGCCTGCGCAAAGTGTGCATTTGTCACATACGCGCATGCAAAGTGTGTGCACACAGGCAAAGCACGCCCACCAAGCCACACCCACCAAACCGGTGGTAAAAAAATATTTGAATCCCACCACTGGGTCAAGCTATTTTCCAAAGCACCAGAAGGCCAGACAAGGAATAATAGATGGAAACTGAACAAGGAGAGATTCAACCTGGAAATAAGGATAACTTTTCTGACAGTGAAAACCATAAACCAATGGAGCAGAAGTTGCCTTCGGAAGTTGTGAGAGCTTCATCACTGGAGGCTTTCAAGAAGACGCTGGACTGGCATTGGTCAGAGATGGTGTAGGCAGGGGTGGGATTCTATCAGTTCGCACCTATTCGCTAGAACCGGTTGTTAACATTCTAAGCAGTTTGGAGAACCAGTTGTTAGAAGAAATTACTGGCCTAATCCTGTAAGGAAGGCAGGAAGGAAACATTCTGGTGTTGCTTACAGAAACTGCCTCTCCCTTAACCCTTATTACATTCTTGGCAGGACTAGACTTCCTGTCTCTGGAACTTCTCTTGAGTTTTTTTCCCCTCCTTTGCTGGTACTTTGCTTGTGTGGAGGGACCATTCAAAATTACAATGGCACTGAAAAAAGTGACTTATGACCGTTTTTCACACTGACGACTGTTGCAGCATCCCTACAGTCATGAGAGGCCAGGCGAGGAGATGCGTGCCTCAATGTGAGTGATATTGAGTTGGCCACACCCAGCCAATAACATGACCACTAAGCCACGTCCACCACCTAAGCCACGCCCACAGAACCAGTTGTTAAAAATTTTGAATCCCACCCCTGGGTGTAGGGTCTCCTGCTTGGGTGGGGGGGGTGTTTGGACTAGATGACCTACAGTACGAGGTCCCTTCCAACCCTGTTGATCTTTTAAACTTTGAACGGTCACTAAATAAAAAGTTGTAAGTCAAAAACTACCTGCATAACTTCTCTTTAAAAAAAATAAAATGGAAAGTTATCCTTTCATTAATGTTGTTACTGTTAAATGTTTAAACAACATAAGTTTTACGTTGGAATTGCAGATCAACGGTTCTTTTTTTTTTTTTTCAAAATTGTTTCAGTCCCAGATTTGTATCAGTTCTTTCCATCCCATTAGATGTTCGCTCATTCATTCATTTTCCAAAACCTAAAATGTGCTAGTATCCTCTTTAGTGTGTGTGTGTGTGTGTTTTTATGTATGTGTGTGTGGGTGGGGGGGGGGCATAATCTTTTTTTCTAATACAGGTGACGCCCTAAACAACCACTTTCAAAATCAAACATTCTCTCTCCAGAAACAGAAGTGCAAGGAAATAATAATGAAAGTCATTTTAATGGAATGAGTTTGCAAGAAAGTGAATCATTTTGCGTTAATGGAAACTTAATGAGAATATTAATATTCGTCAGAGCCAATTTCATGGTTAAGACTAGAAAGCAGCAGGGTGTTGAGTTCCAGTCCTGCCTTGGGCACAAGGCTAACTAGAGGACATTGGGCCAATCCTTCTCTCTTAGCTCTAGGAAAGAAGTAATTCGGGCAGTCATCCTTTTATTATCCCAATAATTCTTGATTCGATGTGCTGCGGGATATTGGATTACCAGTAGGGCAGAATTAGCTCAGCTTTTCCTCAAAATATTCTCTTTCGGTGCAGAGATCAAATTCCTTGCAGTCGTGCAAATTCCTTGCATATAGTTCTACAATGCAGCTCATCAGGAAATCGCAATCTCTAAAGCAACACTAAAAAGAAACCAGGAATAACTACAATATCCATTCTCCCCTACAATTACTAATGCCATCTCTTGTTGGGAGGAGAAACATTGTCCAGCCTTGAAGAAAACAGCACACGTTTCCTGAATCTTTCCTTGACAATTTCCTTCAAACTAATTTCTGCAGTCTTCCCTTCTCTGCCCTTTCATACAGAGATATAATTTCAACGGATTGGAAAAGCAACTAAGTGCACTTAGGCCTATCTGTTAAATTCCTGAGGGGGACAAAGAATGATGAAATTCATCCCGTAATTAAACCACATATTTCTTTCAACCTTTCATTCTTCCTTCCCAACTCTCCTTTCATAACCCTTCTACCTCCCCTCAGATTATTCAGGCACTTTTTTAGCTACAATCGATACCATGTGAGAGCGACATTAATTTTTGTCCCTTGGAGGTTTTGCTGGGAAACAGAGCTCGGTTGGCATTTTCAAACACTTATGCCCGAGACTGCGGGAAGATACCAGTTGGCTGTGCTGGAACTAGGAGAAGGTTTCCTACAACACACCTTTCAAGTTCTGGTCTTCAGCCAAGGGTGCAATAAATGGATTGAAGTGGGAGACATTAAATATATTGCCTAATGCACCAAAATGCAAAGAGTAAAATGAGGATAGCCATGGAGAATCTTGACCATTAATCTGCAGGGTAGTCATATGTTCATTTGATCTATAAACCTTGTTGTATAGAGTGGAATAATGGAGAAGGCAAGAACCCTCCATCAGGAAGACTTCCAACTAGTGCTTTCCATTTATGAGGCCAATTTCCTTTTTCACATCGGATACCAAGGTACTTAATTTTATTTGCCTTCTCAGAAGACACCTGCATGAGCCAGAAATGGATGAATCTTTAGTTCTGGGGCACTTGAGCAGGATCTCCCAGGACTGAACCATATATTGGACCACTGTCAGAAAACGAGCGACATGGTTTCCAGAATTTGCAGGAAACACTTTTGGTGGAAGGCATGATTAATGTCTTTGATTTTCCAGGAAATGTCAATTGCTGAATGCAGAATGGAGGAAGATCAATTGATTAGATTGATAGGTTAGGATAGGATCCTTTGAGCACAGAAACAAAGACTCCAGGGCATGAAATATGTAATAAGTACAAAAGATGGGTGGGAGATTGTAATGAGACATGGAGCTCATCGTAGAAAAAGCAGTAGGCACTTGTGTCACGTTAAACCATAATAGTTTGTTTGTTTTTGTTTTTTTGCTGTTGTGAAAATCTAAGCTTTGGGAGGGTAGACATGAATACAGAATAACAGAGGTAGAAGGGACTTTGGAGGTCTTCTAGTCCAACCCTCTGTTCAAGCAGGAGACCCCATACCATTCTGGATAAACCAGTCTAGTCAGTCCAGTCTCTTCTTGAAAACCTCCAGTAATAAGCACACACACATTCTGGATATAACCCAACCCACTGTCCTCCCCCAGGTGCCCAGAATAGCTTCACTCCCCCCTCTTTTATGTAACAGTCCCTCAAGGATTGTTAAGACTCACACTACTCCTAGTCTTTCCCATTGTGAGACTAGACCTTATTAAATACCTGCTGGCAGCTTGTAAGAGATTTGGGTGTCATCTTGCTTAGTGTTTATGCTTTACATGTTACGTTTTTAAATCTGTTTGTTTGAGCTAACCATGAAGCTTAAAAGCCCCTTATTTACTGGAGTGTTCATCATCTCTGGATCCAAAAGGAACAACGGGTGGGCTGCTGAGGGTTCGCAGGGGTTCGGAAGAACCCCTTCCTAAGATTCTGTGCATTTCGGAGAACCTCCAAATCCCACTCTGTCCCCACGTGACCTGTTTTAGATGCAGGTAACTGCAGGGCCTGCACGGAGGCTTGGGGAGGGTAAAAAATGGGCCTCTTGGATGTTCGGGAAAGCTGGAAATGGGCCCGTTTATGGCTTCCAGAGAGCCTCCGGAGCCCGGGGAGGGCAAACTCTCCCCCTGCCTCGATGCAGGAGGCCGACTAGGCCACGCCCACCATGGCCACGCCCACCCAGCAATCGGGCAGAGAACCCATAGCTAAAATTTTTGAAGCCCAGCCCTGAAAAAAACCAATTCCCAGGGCATCTGATAACTTGGCAAAACAGAAACTTACTAAAGAAAATTACATATTATACATATGCAAAGTAGGTTTTCCCTAACTCAACCAAACCTAAACAGTATAACCTCAGATATCTAAAGGGAACATTGTTACAGAGGGTAGATATTAATACAATGGCGACATTGTCCCCCAAAATTCATAGAAATTACATCTTGGAGATCGGGAACATACAATCGACCATTTTAGCAAGAACTAGGGCAGTGCCTGAATATAGCAGTTTCAAGATCAGTAGGGTTCAGAAATGCAAGCCACAATTTTTAGGCTGAACAAAATTATGAGATCAATAAGGAAATACAGAGAGTACACAGTTTTAGAGCAACAATATGTGGTTTTGACCTTGCACTCTGGAGATATTATTAAGCATCAACAAAAATTAAGCAATTAATATGAAAAATGTTTTCACATAGCAAATGCTTTTATTATATTTTAATTTACTAGAAATACTTTCAGCGGTCTCCTGAGGGAGGAAGTACAATTTAAAATTGCTTACATCTTTCTTAAAAGCTGAAGCAAGCTCTTGCTTTTCATCTTCTGTAATCTTATTTAAAAAGTTGGCCAAAAATTGCTGACTTAGTATAGCAAACAGATAATTATTTCACATAGCTCTTTCCAGATATTTGCTTTCCCTTCCCCCAAAGTCCTTCTTTCTCTTGCATGCCTAATTGGGTCTATTCTCTTCATATTTTATTGCTTAATTTGAGAATGATTTACCCCAGTAAATAAAAAAGCAATACTGAGCACACCTGTCTAATAAGTATAATTAGGTTACCACTGATTCATTCAAGCTATTTGCAGGTTGGGAGGTGAAATAACCTAAAGAAATATGTTCAAGGAGAGTGGACGGAGCCCCACAATTAGTAAGGTTGCTTTGTTTACCCAGATCCAGGTTGGATCTTAGTACAGAATATATTTATTCAATTTTTAGAATAGAGCTGAAGAAGCTTCTTGGATGAGAAGCGAAATGTCTTCAAAGAAAAAATCAGAAAGCCCAGTTGTCTTTTGAAAAAAACACCTTTGGGATGTGAGTTATATGAATTCACTGTTGTAACAGGCAATTTATGTAACAAATGGTTCTTTACACTGAGATGTCTCCTCCATTTCCTAAACTGTCCAGAACCTCCATCATTCTGGATATTTTGCAAAGACAACTAAATTCTGAAATTATTTCAGTCATTCATAATCTGGGCTATCGTAGTTCTTTATGGGCCCACCTGGGATCAGTTTCAGGAAAAAGAAACTTTTTTCTAACTTTAAAATGTGCTTATTTTTGATACAGGAAAAGGTCACAATTTGCTTGAAAAACTGTGGGAGCAAAATGGTTGCACAAACTCTTTGTTTCTTTGTTGTAATTAGAACAAAGAACATAAAACATAGAATAATAGGGTTGGAAGAGACCTTGGAGGTCTTCTAGTCCAACCCCTGTTGAAGTATATACCCCTGTTGAACCTTATACCATTTCAGACAAATGATTGTCCAATCTCTTCTTGAAGGCAATCTGTCCACTGATTAATTGTTCCAACAGGAAATTTCTCCTTAGTTCTAGGTTGGATCTCTTAACAATTTTCCACCCATTGCTTTTTGTCCTGCCTTCTGGTGTTTTGGAGAATAGCTTGATCCCCTCTTCTCCACGACAGCCCTTCATTACTGGAAGATGTCTATCATATCCTCCCTAATCCTTTTCTACATTAGACTAGACATACCCGGTTCCCTCAATCATTCATTATACGGTTTAGCCTCCAGACTCCTTGTCATCTTTGTTGCTCTTCTCTTCACACTTTCTGAGGTCTCAACATCATTTTTGTATTGTGGTGATATAAGACAGTATCTATGTATGCATACTATCTGACTGGTAAATGCCTTTGGAACAACATATCACAAAACCAACAATACAATGAAAACAAAGCTGTAATAAACATGGGGCTTCATTACCTAAAATGTTGTTCCTTTGCAAATCAGATATTTTAAAATATTTTTACCCTCCCATCTTTTATTCATTGACTTATGAACTATCCAACTGTAAATATTGCTGGAAATATTTGACAACATAAAACCATCACTGCCAAACAGAACCAAAATAGTAATAACACTCATGAGGGTATTTTCTCTAACTTCTCATATTTCCCCTTCTGTCTGCACACAGAATGTATGACTAAGCTAGCCTCTTCAAAATAATTCATTTACAACGACTTTGGGGGCAATCAGGAAAAAAAAAGAATCCAGAAACAGTTACAGCTGCTGAGCAAATTACTATCCAAATAATATCATTATCAAAATAGATGAAAGCAATATCAAAGTATAATTAGCATCAGAGAGAAAATGTATATATACCTACCCAATCCCCAAGTGGCAGAGAAAATAATCTACATCTACTTAAACATGCATCTCTCCTATATATTTGCTTTTATAAATAGTTATTGGGACAGCAAAGCTTCATCAGTATATTTGTTAAATGAATCTATTATAGTGCAATTTTAAAGCCAGTTCAGCCCCTATAATAGCAGAGGATAGGCAAGGGTAAATATATATACATATATATTACATGCATACTAAAACATGCCCTCCAATTTTCTATCTGAAGAAAGCTTCCTTTCTCCAAGTGCTTTAGAATTTCTTTCTGAATGTCTTTGATTCCGCCTGTGTCGGTGGTGACTAATCCACGAAATATAGAGCTTATGACCATCCAGTTAAAACAAATGTGGAAAGAGTCAGGACTGATAAAAGGAAACACCTCTTTACACACTTCATAAATGCAAAAGTGTTCGGGATGAATGGAATGGAAAGAACAAGATAAGAAATCATAATTTTGAGTTTTAGACTACTTATAGGAAACAGATATTAAGAACTAAGAACCTGTCAGGAAACAACGGACAGAGAGAAGATCTTATATGGCATGATGGAGAAGTGGTATGATTTACTTGATCAGCTGTATAAAAGTCATAGAGAATAAATAGGATTGGAGGGGAGCTTGGAGGTCTTCTAGTTCAATTTCTTGGTCAGGCAGGAAACCCTCTACCATTTCAGACAAATGGCTGCCCATTCTTTTATTAAAAACATCCAGTGTTGGAGCATCCACAACTTCTGAAGGCAAGCCGTTTCACTGATTAATTGTTCTCACTGTCAGGAAATTTCTCGCTGGTTCTAGGTTGCTTCTTTCTTGAATGGTCTTCCACCTGTTACTTCTTGTCCTGCCCTCAGGTGCTTTGGAGAATAGATTGACCCTTCTTTGTGAGAACCCCTCAAGTATTGGAAGTCTGCTGCCATGTCACTCTAGTCCGGGGGTCCTCAAACTTGGCAACTTTAAGACTTGTGGACTTCACTCCTAGAATTCTCCAGGTTTGGAGACCTCTGCTCTAATCCTTCTCTTTGATAGACTAGGCATACGACCTAGTTTCCTCAATCATTCAATGTATGGTTTAGCTCCCAGGCCCCTTATCATCATTATTGTTCTTCCCAACATTCCTTCTAGAGTCTCAACATCTATAGATATCTCAGTTTACAGAAGGAGAGGAGGCATGGGAAGCATTTCATAAAGGGTCTCCCTACTGTTCTGCGGAGGAAGGGAAAATTGCTTCACACTTGCAAGGTTTTGTAACCTTACAATAAAGATACAGCTGGTATTCATTGTTGTGTTACTTATCTGGACCAGCCATGAAGGACAAATATCATAATTGTGAATTTCCTGAATCTATGCATCCATCACTTGATTGTCCACGTTTTGGGATTCCACAGGTAGAGTTTCTTCAGAATCAAATCTAAACCTTTATCAGACTCATTTGAGCTGCATAAAATCATGTTCATCCACAGAATAAGTACTGCTAATGGTATGAAGAGCCTGCAAAATGTAATATGAATGGGTTTACTATTAAGACCTTTTGTAATGCCATATAATATTAGTTAATATGTAAAAGTTCCTAAATAATGGATCATGAATAATAACAGACATTAAAATTTTATCTTAAACTAAAGTAGAGTTTGTGATAAAATATAATAAAGTTGAAAGGCTAAAGGGTAGAGAAGAGACAATTATAAGAGAATGTTGAGCTATTATCTAAAAGAACAAGTGATCTTATATACAATCTTTGTCCAAAACAAGATAATAATAATAATATGAATGTTAGCATATAGTATGAATTATAGTTATGTAGCAAAAGTTATCTCTTGTTCCTAGCTAGTTAATGTGGCCAGCCTGGTAAAAATTTCTGCATTATCAAGGTCTATCTTTTCTTAGTTAACTTTCTGAATTCTTTTCATAAATTTTATCAGAGTATTATTGTTTTATGTATGTAATTATTACATTAATTATGCTTTTAATTAATCTGAATGTTTTTTTTACTGTTAACTCCCTTGAGGATCATAGTGTTTGCTAGAAAGGCAGGAAATAAGCCTAATAAACACATAGAAAAGGAGAAATGGAACAATGATTCTAAAATAGGGGTGTCAAACTCACGTCGTCAAGGCGGCATCACATGACATATCGGGATTGTTCCCCCTTCACTATTCCTTTTTATTCTTTCTGATTTATAAACAAAATTGTGGGCACTGTAACCAAGCACTTTAACTATTATACCTAATGGATAAGTAAGTTTTTGTCATGCCTCCTCCTTGGTTTGTCCACTCGCCCCCATTTACATCTGGTTATAAGTCAAACTACAATGAAGAAGCCAAACAGAAGAAATTTGAAGTCTACATTCCTGGTATTGGTTATATATTTAGGGACAGATGTCACTGCAGAACAAACCATGCATTAACATTTTAATAGCCAGATCATAAACGCTCTCTAATGGCAGATACAATTTGCCAGACTTGTGTTTCTACTAAATTAAACAAGCTCCCTTCTTTCACATTAAAAAAAAAAAAAAAAATCTTTTGAAACCATTTCATTCACACTTCGAAGTAAACAACATTTAGAAGTTTTATATCTGAAAATATTGGCCAAAGTTTTTTTTTTTAAATCCAAAACAGATGTTATGATTACTGTATCTTTTCCTGCTGAGTGACAGGAAGAGAGCTATTTTCTAGTACCGCTGATATATTGCAGATCAACAGTCTTGACATTAATAAAATCAGACAAGTGACAATGGATTGATTGATATACTGAGGAAAAGATTGACGCTGCTCTGTTCATGGAAGGAACTTCCATTCACAGAAGGAAAATTTGAGATGTGGAAAGGTCCAAGGTAATTCTTTGTCCAAGAACTCCTGTTTGCCTCAAACCCCATACTGATATTAAATTTACTACCTTACAGTTCAATGTCCATGATGAATTTATTATATACAAGTCATGTGAACTCTGAAATCCTTCCTCAAAGTCACTTAAGATCCAGGCTAGACAGTATGATCCATTCTCGAGCTACACACCAAGGATGTGTGTGATGTGTATTTATTTTGTTTAATTTTTAGATTTATTATCCTGACTTGATTACTTTGTTAAAATAAAAAACCTCCAGGTAACAAATATATATATATAATACTCTTTCTTCTTCCTGTTTTCCCCACAACAATAACCCTGTGATAGCACCCTCTTACCCAAGAGTTAGTCCCATTGAAACTAAGGATAAATTTTCTGACGGTCCAGTAGAATAGCTTGTCTTCAAAAGTTGTGAGTGCTCTATCACTGGTGGCTTTTAAGATGAGACTGGACAGCCATTTGTCTGGAATGGTATAGGATTTCCTTCTCTTTTTTTTTGTAAAAAGTTTTTTTAAATTTTTTTGAACAAACTTTCACAAAACACAAACAAAACAAAAACATAAAACCATCTTTCAGTTACATACAATGTGTCAGTTGGTACCAATCTCTTGTGTACAATCTCTACAGTCATTCCTTTCTAATTACATTTTAATCCTCATATTATATATAAGTTGTATATAGTTCTGGTATTATCATTATTAATTGTTTATTAGACTGTTACTTGTATGTCATCATTTTATATGAGCAAATCTCCATTTTGACTTAACCTACTTTATAACATTTGTTTCATCATTACCCATCTATTCAATAATATTTTATTCTTACAATACTTTATCTCTAACAATTCTATTATTCTTATATTATAGACTATTATAAAATATTTCACTTCACTATTCTATTGTCTAACCATTGGTAAAATGGTTAGCATATTTTATAAAATTGTTTATCTTCTTGTTCTCTAATTTCAAATGTCAATTTATTCATTTCTGCACAGTCCATTATTTTCTTAATAACTTCATCCTCCGTTGGAATTTTCTCATTTTTTCCAGTTTTTGACAAATACAATTCTAGCTGCTGTTAATCTATTTACAATCAAATATATAATTTCTCTACTGTATATTTCAGGTATAATGCACAATAAAAATATCTCTGGCTTTAAATCTATATGGTTCTTTGTAAGAAACAAGGATTTCCTTCTTGAGCAGGGAGTTGGACTAGAAGACCTCTAAGATCCCTTCCAACTCTGTTATTTTGTTATCTTATTGTCCCCCCTTTGGCTAATCATTTATGAAGAACCAACAGGAAGTTTGTATGCATGTCAGCTATCTATCACTGATGTCTCTACATGCTAATTTCATGGATACACAAGCAGGAAGGGAGAGGCAACTGCACTCATTTCCTGTCTGGAGACACTGCGAGAGGGAACAAAAAAAATAAAAAATAAAAAAATAAAACAAGCATATTCACATTTACATGCTAAGTATGATATAATATTAACAATAGGTAAGTAACTTACTCATTGAATAGACAACATAATCAACAGCAGCCAACCACAGTTTAATAGCATCGTTCTTCAGTCAGTATCCCTTGATGGATTTAATTAAATAAGATAACCTCAGGACTTATCACAGGGCAAAATGATTAATGTTAGTATAAAGCAGGGGTCTCCAAACTTGGCAAGATTAAGGCTTGTGGACTGAGTTGATGTCCACAAGTCTTAAAGTTGCCAAGTTTGGAGACCTCTGGTATAAAGCTTTGCCAAGTACACACGTAGTATATATACAGTATACAAATAGTACGGGCCAGTTGAGAAGCAGTGGTTAATCATTTGGATTAGGAAGCCCATCCTCAGCTATAAAAGCCTGTGTGTGATTTTGTGTCCATGTTCCCACACATACAAAACACATCTCCCAAGCAGAGACTCCACAGGAAAGGTCAAATTAATTAAGCTGGGAAACCACAATCACAGCTGCCATCTTGACTTTTTGGATTCACGCCCTACAGACATTTTTGTTCACAAAATTATTATTGTGGTCAAAGAGATAGGTTCAGAGGTGGCATTCAGCAGGTTCTAACCAGTTCTGGAGAACCATTAGCGGAAATTTTGAGTAGTTCAGAGAACCATCCAATACCACCTCTGACTGACACCGCCCCCATCTATTCTCTGCCTTCACCCCCACCTACTCTCAGCCTCCCATTAAGTCCCAGCTAGTTGGTTGGCTCTTCTTTGGCTGCCCTGCACAGGAGGACAGAGCTGAAAAGCAGGTTAGTGGGGTGGGGAGGGAATGGGGATTTTACAGATGTAGCAGGGGAAGGATACCGTAAAATCTCCATTCCCTCCCCACTCCAAGGGAAGAATTGAGATTGTACAGTATCCATCCCCTGCCACACCCACCAAACCACGCCCACCAAGCCACACCACACCCACTAAGCCATGCCCACAGAACTGGTAGTAAAAAAAAAAAATTCCATCACTGGATAGGTTTCCTTGAGCTTGTGGCGAAATAAGATGATAAACTTAAAGAACCAATGAACAAACAAACACACATTCATGGATGTGTATGAAAGTTTTTAAAGGCTGGAATGCAAAGAGGGGAAAAAGGGGGGAAAAAACAGAATAAAACTTCTTTGTATTCAAGCTTTAGGACTATTTTCATAAAAAAAAGGCAGCAAGGAATATATCTTAAATAGCCTAAAAGTGAAATTTAGGAAGAAAAAAAAGGAAAACCATTTATCATATATGGTTAGCTGCCCCAAAGGTTCTACGGAACTATTTTTGCAAATAAATGAAACCATTTGACCATGTAGGAACACTATTTAAGAAACTGAAGGATGTTGGGCCGCTTCCTATTGTGTTCCAGACCAGATGCAGTTATTTTTCAGCTATGCTTTTATCTCTGGCTAGAAAACTGGCTCTACACACTAAATTTGAAAAGGTCTATTAATCTCATCCTATGTTCATCGAATTATGGATGGAGGCACTTTAAAAGTGATTTATGTTTTCTCTTGTATATTGCAACACTTTGCAGTTTACCCCCCACCCCCTCTGAAATGATCAAATCTTATACTTCAACCCTTGCCTGATAAATGTGACTTGCCTCCCCCAGATGTGGGGTTTATTACATCCATGCACCCAACATGAAACATATTATATTTGCAAGACATAACTGTTATTGTTATAGTTTTGTTATTCACTGAGTTCATAGAGTCTAGATTCTAGGTTGTCCAGGGATATCCACAAAAGCTGGTCAGATTCAGACAATGAAGCAGCAAAACTTTGAGGTGGTGTGTATTTTTGAGTCTGTTGCAAAAACAGGTGATCCTTGATTTACAATGGTTCATTGAGTGATGTTCAGAGTTATAACAGCACTGAAAAAAAGTGACTTATGACAGTTTTTCACACTTATTGTTCTTTGGAATTCCTTGTGTGGATTCCTTTGGCTCAAAATAATTGGAAAACTTTCTTTTAGTACTGTTCAGTTGAAAAGAAACCTATTTAACACTGACAATTCAAGCAATTAAAAAACCAGACTGTTAAAAACATATTGAAATGATCAGATAAGATTTAAGAGGCCGAGCTTTGAACAAAGCTGTTCCTACTTCTGTTCACATCAATAGGTCAGGTTTAAACAACTCGGTCCCCTCTAAATATTTTTAATTTCTAATTTCCCTCAGCTTTAAACAACATAATCAACCACAATGGATTATAATAGGAATATGCAAGTGACTTTTTGCCTGTCTATTTTGACCCATATGTACAATACTGTATACCACTGTCATGCTCCTATTGGAGTCTGACTCTGAGGGAGAGGAGGAACAGCTGACAGGGAGTGGAAGTGTGGCTCCAAAGGTTGTGGAGAAGGCTGGACAGTCAGAGGAAGACCCAGGCGCATCCCCTCTCCATCCTAGGGCATGCAGGGAGGAGAGGATAAGGGAGAGAGGTGAATGGTGTGGTCTATGGGGAGGAAAGGGCCTTGATCCTCTTCACAGGCTGCAGCTGTGAGAGCTGGTTAAAAGGACGGACATGCATATGGGCCAGTGCTGGAAACAAAGAGTGGAAATATCTCTAGTCTGTTGTTCCTCTCTGACTTTGGCATCCTTCCGAGTGTGTGTTCCGATATCTGTGGACGTCTTCAAGCCCTTATCTTGCCTGGTTCCCTTAATTGCTTCAGGGTGGTTTGTGCTGTTTTTACTCTTTATAATTTATAGGCATTTTTAGTTTAAATGGCATTTCCACCTTTTCGTAACTGCTTGTGGGGGAGGTTTTTTTTGTCTCCAGTCAAGGATATTTGGAGCTTTGAAGCAAAGTGAAGGAATAAAAGGGGCTTCACCTGTTTTTGTGACTGTGTTTATTTTGTATCCCACTCTGGGTCATCACAATCACTATGTTCCTGATATTCATGTTTAATATTCAATATTCAATAGAAATTCAATAGAAAAGTGCATTATTTCATTTACAGGCATTTAGAACTTATAATAGAATAGAGCTGGAAGGAACCTTGGAGGTCTT